AACCCCTACACCCTAAACCCTACAAACCCTAAACCCTTAAACCCTAAACCCCCACAATCCTCTCTAAGTCGAAGTACCAGCTGCCGCCGAAGGTGCGAGCTTTCTGACCGACCACAGCGCCAGGGTGTTCCAGGGGGAGCTGCGGCCATCCAGGATCTGCTCTCCTCTGCTTAAAGGCTTAGGGGTTTAGGGTTGCTTCTGCGTTATGGCTTTAGGTTTAGGGTTGCTTGAATTCATGGCTTAGGGGTTTCGGGTTGCTTCTGTTTTATGGCTCTGGGTTTAGGGTTTCTTCTGTTTCATGGCTTACGGGTTTAGGGTTGCTGCTGTGTTATGGCTTTGGGTCTTAAGGGGCTTAGGGTTTATCAGGTTCAGGGCTCAGGCTGTTTATGGTTTAGGGTTTAGGGGTTTAGGGGTTTAGGCTTTCAGGGTTTAGGGTTTAGGGATTTAGGGTTTAGGCTTTAAGGGTTGACCCTAAAGCCTAAACCCTAAACCCTAAACCCTTTTCCCAATCCCAAGCCCTCCACTCGAGCTGCTCCTGACAACTCCAAAGCCCTTTCAACCCAACTGCAGGGTTTTGGGGGTATAGAGCTTAAGCTTAGGGGATGGGACTTAAGGAAACTTAAGGTTCAAGGCTTAGGGTGCTTCAAGGCCTAAGTTCAGGGTTTCAGCTTTATAATCGGGCTTAAACAGAATTTAAGCCTAATGTTTCCCAATTTCGGAAATGCACAGCCCAGCAGGGTTCTAGGAGAGCTAAACGAAGTGTCCTCGGTTTTGTTCTAGGGGTTGAGGGCTTCATGCTCTAGGGCTTTTCCACAAACGCACCCTTTCCTTCCGTCTCATCCAACTTTGCCAGGGCATGCAACGCCATGTAGACTGGGGCCTCGAACTGAATTTGCGCACTCGCTCGGCTTAATGCATGGGAACTTCATAGTTAGACTACTTCAACTTCACCCGAAACCCAAACTGCTAAACCCTACACCCGACATGAACCCCTGCACAGGAACTGCGCGTCGCACGAGGCCACTGCTGAACCCCCCCGACAGTCCCTGAACCGCAAAATCTGAACAACATCCAGAAACCCCAGGATCTAAAACCTACCCCAAACCCTGAATAGGTGCTAAACCATAATACCTGAATAGTAGCCTCCGACACAGCTCGGCAACAACCCTGTAAAACCCAATCCACACCTCTCCGATGGGATCATGTCAGAACACTGGACTCACTGGACTCACTAGACAACCTTACAAGAACTATAGGCAGACCACCCCCAAGAAAGAAACGAAACACACTGCAACGCAGCTCAAAATCGTTTGCAGAAGCCAGTCAACAATTCCACAGGACCATGAATGCACAAATAGATAAATACATAGCTACATAAATACACACATACATACATACATACATACATACATACATACATACATACATACAGTTACTTGCTTGCTTATTTGTTGAATGTATTTGTGTATAATATCTTCATATACATAAACAAAGACATAAACGCGAACGTGTGTTTATACATATGCATACATAACTAAATATAAAATCTGTATATATTATACATACAAACATACATTTGACATACACACTTATGTGGCTGCTTACTGAACAGCACTCCTGGGCGGAAGTTGTGGCCCTCGAAGACGGGCCCGACCACCAAGCAGTCCGAGCCGTGGTGATCCAGCACCCTCTGGAGGACATCGCCTGAGGGGAGGTGGAGGGTGTAGGGTCTAGGATTTCGGATTTGGGTTTCAGGGCAGGGTTTAGGGTTTAGGGTTTAGGGGTTTAGGGTTTAGGGTTTAGGGCAGGGTTTAGGGTATAGGATTTAGGGGTTTAGGATCAGTGTTCGTCTTGAGAAAACTGCGGATCTAGGCTATCAGAGTGAATGGGTATTACTCCATAGTTGACGAATCTGGTCCGTTGGGGACCCCTTGAGAAAAAGCTTGGTTTTAGGGTTGAGGGTACCTCCGAGAAAAAGCATCCCCGGTATGTGGAATGGGGCTCTTCTAGCCTGGTCGGCCCGATAGACACCTCAAGCACTAGCACTAATACACCTTGACAAGCACATAAGAGACCAGTAACAAAATTTGAGAAGCCTCATATACAAACCTCGAGGATAGGAGACTTGCTAAGTCTGCCAAGTAGTGCTTAGGGTTTACTGTGGTCATGCGGCTCTGAAAAGAGCACTCCCACCGTCACACGTCCGGTGAACCTTACAAGGCCTTACATGCCGCACCAAACCAACCATCCTGAATTCGGCCCCTTGGCCCAAAACCTCAAGTCAACGATGCAACCTGCGAGACACATACGCTTCAAAGAAAATCACGCCAAACTCCGAAAGTGTGAAGCAGGCAGTGAAAGACTGCAAAACCGATATGGGAGTTTCCGAAAATAGGGGACCCCAATATAGTACCCCTAAATAGTAGGATCCCTATTATAAGGACCCCAAAATAAGGTACCCGAATTTTCAGAAACTCCCATATGACACTGCTGCTGGCATTGGAGGTCGCTCCCTGCTGCCACCCCCAGACCCATCACCAGCGCCACTGCCACAACCACAGCGTTAAGACGCTGACGACTAGTAACAACGGCGAGAGTGCCTTGATCACGACTATAACAGGGATGTTCTGATCGGTTTAAGGGTTTAGGGTTTAGGGCTTAGGGATGAAGATTCCGTTGATTTGATGATGACTAATTGAAGAACCTGATCACTGTCCCGGTTCTTATCGTGGCTCTGACAAAGGCAGCACTAGCAAGGTTGATCTCTCCGACTGACCCTGAGCACGACTAACAGTAGCACTACCGCAGTCTTATCATCAAGACTTCAGTCCTAAACCCTCAACCCCTGAAGCCTAAGCCCTAAACCCCAAACCCAAAGTCCTAAACCCTAAACCCTGAAAGCCTAAACCCTAAACTCCTATATAAACCCTAAACCTTAACAACTGAGAGATGGGCGTGTGCAACAGACCTCCAGCGACTGATACAAGATGTACTTGGCCCCCTTTCCTCGGAGGATCAGGTCGAGGAGGCCGGGGGATCTGGGCTCTTAGATGAAAGTTGCTGCTCCCATACAGTCACACTCTACTATTCAGGGCCTTTATATATCTATACTCAGAAAAAGTATTGCGGAACATAATAAGTAATGTTAAGGGCCAGTTTAAGGGCCTTAAATATCTATACCGAACAAAGTTCAACTGTTACTGGGTGGGGGCAGTACCCAAGATAGAAGCCTTCGTGCTAGAATGCTACTGGGGAGCCTAAACCCTAAACCCTAGACCCTAAACCCTAAACCCTAAACCCTAAACCCTAAACCAACTAGTAACTAGTAAAACAGCTGTCTGACCTGAAAGTCGAGCTACCACTGAGCTTAACATTAGAGCCTAAACGCTAGACCCCCAGCTCTAGAAAGAAGGCCCTATAAGCCCTAAAGCCCCAAACCTTGTCGAATAACAATACCAGGGTTTAAGTTAAGCCTAAACCCAACCGCAGCCCTAAGACCATCTATTACTAGTCTGTGCAACTAGTCTCCCCTCGCTCGGGTGACCGAGCCAGATCTTGAAGCAGATGGCTGGTTCCCAAACCCTCGGCGCGCCAACTGAAGCTCCTGAACCCTGAACCCACACTTCAGCGCCTGGGGATATGGCCTCAGGGCTTCTGGATTTAATTTCGGGGCCTTGATGGTTAGAATAGGGTTTTGGATGTATATTGCACCATACTTATAATAAGGAACCCCCACTATAGTATAGTATCGGTAGCGATTTAGGCTCCTATATTTTAGGATAAGGAAGCCCCCGCTATGGTATTGGTAACTGTTTGGGCCCCTATATTTTAGGGTTCAGGACCTCCAGCCCCCTTTACGACTCCCGAAGTCACATGGCCCGGATCTCTGGACCCAGCCCGAACGGCCTGAAAGCCGAAACCCTCATCTCAGGGATGTCGTACCCTTCTAAAACCTTTGAGGGAACCCCTCTATAAAGGCATCCCCCAGCCCCAAACCACCAAAAAAACCGAAACCCTAAACTCTAAACCCTGAGCCCTAAGCCCTGAGCCCTAAACCCTAAACCCTGAACCCTAAACCCTGAACCCCCAAACCCTAAACCCTATACCACCCCAAAGCTCAAGGCCAAGGATCGCTGGGCGAAGTTCAGGAGAGCATTCAGAGCAGGGACGAACGCCTTGGATCGAAGTCGAAGCGATGTGGGTGGGCTCGAAGAAGAGGGGTTTAGGGTTTAGGGCTTAGCGTTTGGGGCTTAGGGCTTAGGGTTTAGGGCTTAGGGTTTGGAGTTTAGGGCTTAGGGCTTAGGGTTGAGGGCCTTTGTGTGTGTGTGTGCGCGCTTGCTTGTGCGGTTCTGTGCGTGTGTATTTTTGCTTTGTTGTGTTGGGGCGGAGGTTAGGGTGTAGGGTTTGGGATTTGGGGACATAGTGGAGACCAATAGGCAACCAAGGAGAGAAGCTAGCAATTCCGGGTCCAGGTAGACAATATGATGCCGTCATATTGCTCAGGGCATGTGCGAGATGTCACCCCCCTCCTCATTCTCCCCAAGTCCAGACTTTATGTCTCACCGCGTCTTTCGGGACTGCAACAGGGCATGTTCTGCGTCAAGCCCTGCACTGTGCACTCCAAATCCACATCCCAAAAAACGCTTGAACATTTTATGACTTATTCAAGAGAAATCTGCCATCAAGCATTCACCCAAGTCACTCCCCAGCACGGCACATGAAGAACATGTAGCGTCAGGTCCGGTTCAGCCTCCGCCCACATGCTTGCTGGAATTTCGAGCTTCAGGCATAGTTTGAAATCCGAGCTTGCAAGCTTGGCGAAACCCCTGTGCTCCCGGGGTTTCGGGCTAGATTACCATAGCAAAATCCTATTGGGGCCTATGGCGGAATAGTCGTACCAATTTCTCCGGCCCTCACAGGACAACCACGGCCTGGGGCTCGATGCCTTATCCAATGTAGGGGCCTTAATGGTTGGAATCGGGTGTTTTGGGGTATCTTATACTATAATTATAGTAAGGAACCTCCCAAAAAATAGTATAGGTAATTATCTAATTATTAAGGCCCCTATAGTAACAACTCGGCCCCTGAAGAGAACCCAAGCATTTTGCTTCCTGGGACAAGGCCTCTTCGGCGATCTGCTTCACCTGCGGTCAGAAGGTTCCTTTATGCAGCTTAGAGATTACGGTTGAGGGTTTAGGATCTATCATGGCTCCTTGAAGGGGGTGGGAGAATCTATAAGGGGCTGCTTTAGGGATCTACCAGGGCTCATTTGAGGGATCTGTCAGGGTTCCTTTAAAGGGTTCCTTTAAGGGATCTATCAGGGTTGTTCACGGGAGTCTACAAGGGTTCCTTGAGGGGGCTCCTACTGATCAATCAGGGCTCCTTTTGAGAGATGGGGGGATCTATATGGGTTCCTCTAAAGGTTTACGAGGTCTGTAGGGGCGCCTGTCAGGGATCCATTTTTGTTGGGGTTCCCTTAAAGGGTGTCTTTTGAGAGATCTATAAGGGTTTAAAGGATCTAGAAAGGTTCCTTAAAGAGGCTCTGAACTTTCGGGACGGGGGGGGGGGTTCGAATTACTGGCCTTGTTTACAGGATTGGCTGTAGAGTTTAAGGTTTCAGGATCTAGGGTTGCGGATTTCGGGTGCAGGGTTTCAGTGAGTCTTGGGCCTTCTTGTTGAGAGAGGTTGAGGTTTGGAGTTTGGGGTGTCCACAACGGTGTCGGAGCTCGGAGAGTTTAGGGCTCCAGGCTCTCCATTCGTTGGATTTTGGGGTTCAGCTGCCTTCGGATATGAGCCGAGGGCTCGAGACTAAGAGTTCAAAGCCCAACGGCTTACTTAGGGCTTCACGGCTCAGAACTGAAAGGCTTTGGGTTTAGGGTTTAGGGTTTAGGGTTTCTAAGGCTTTGGGTTCTAGGGTTTGGGGTTCCAGGGGTAGCAGCGTGTTGCAGGGTCGCAAGGCAAAGCTTCGCGCGTCGGGTTGGCAACGGCAGCTAACCATGCGGCCACTGCAACCCGATCGAGCCATGAAGACTCCAAGATCTTTACCCAAACCTATGGTTTGGGGGGCTCCTTATTATAATGATGGAATAATATACCCCAAACCCTTCTCTAATTATCAAGGCCCCTATGTTATTAAATTACCACAAAAAGCCACAAGGCCACTCAGAACAATCGAGCCCTACTGTAAACTCTCGGCCCACGGCCTTATCGACATGGCTGTTCACAGCAATGGCGGTGATCACGCCAAGCTTTCGCGCCTGGCGCAGTGGGTAGCGGGCTGGCTCAACTGCTAAGCCCCCCCTAGGTATTGTTTGAAAGGATCTCTAGGGGTTCCTTTAAGTGATTCAGGGGTTAGGGTTTAGGGTTTAGGGTTTAGGGTTTAGGGTTTAGGGTTTAGGGTTTAGGGTTTAGGGTTTAGGGTTTAGGGTGATAAGTTCTCCTATAAGAAAGGGCGTCCGGGTATGCAACGATTCTCTAGGACCCTAGGGTCAGCCAAGCAGTCTGGCTATGCTAGTCTCGAACAAAGCTGACTAGGGAGGCAGGGTTTACCGTTTAGGGCTCCAGGGTTCCAGGGTTTAGGGCCTATAGTTTAGGGAGATCCCTGATCCCTGACCGGATCCGTCTGCCTTTTTTTTGGGAAGCAAAGCGTATGATTTAGGGTGGGGGTAACGGTACTACTGCTTTTCGTCAACAGCGGCTCTCGCTGCTGAAAATTGGCGTACATGGGATCAGGTGCGTGGACTTTGGGCCCATACTACACGAAGCTCCGCTGCTAGAGCAACCTGCATGGTTAAGAGGCATCAGACAGAGCCCATAGTCATAAGCAAGAATAGTTCGGGCTTTGGGGTCTGTCTGTAATTGGTTGCTATATGGGAGAACAAGAGAACCATGCTCCTGCACGCAGGTACTTTCCTCTGCACCGTTTGTTTTCAAGGAGGCTCTGCTTCGGACCTTCGATGTTTCAGTTGCTGTGGTGGGTGACATGATCCTATACCGGGGTTTAGGGTTTAGGGTTACCGGGGAGTTGCAACTTTGATTCTCGTAGAGTACAAGTACCATCCGTCTGGCTGACATCCTTCTTACAACAGACTTCCTCCGGCCCACAATCTGAAAACCCCCAGGCCCCAAATACCCCAAGCCCGAAAACGGTTTCGGGTTTAGAGTTTAGGGTTTAGGGGTTCAAGATTTGAGACGTTCTCTACCACGTCCACAGTACACTGCGACACTCTTGGGGAGACGCCTGCTGCACGTAGCGTCGCAAGTGCTCAGCTGTGGCTTCTGGTATTTCCTTGGTTGGGTATGGTCATGGGGCTTCCAAGCTTTGGATTTAGGGTCCAGGTGTGTTATAGGGCTTAGGGAGGCAATTTGTATCCCCCGGGACCGACTGTTTCGTTCAGGTTTCCAGTTGTTAGTTTACGGCAACTGCAGCTGGCAGTGCTGTGACTGTGCTTTTCATTTGGCGAAGTATCGAGCGCTTGTCCCTTTTTTGACTTGCGAAACGATCGTTCCATCTGCTGCCCAGCAGAAAGAAGGATTGATGAAGCAACAAGGGCGCCCGAAGCAGTCCTTGCTTCCCTATCCCGATGATGTGGGGGTGTGATTAATAACCCCCCCCCCCACCCACCCCCCACCCCCCCCGCCAGGATTGGGAATAAGCGCGGACCGGGACCGCAGCCGAACGATTGAAGGGGTTGGAATAATGGGAGGGAGGATTGGTGGCAGTAGTACTAGTAGCAGTACTCGTACTAATACCAAAACTAGTACTAAACCCAGTACTATTCTACTAGTACTCTACCAGTACTAGTACTGGTGTTTGTGTTTGTAGTGGTAGTAGCAGTAGTAATAGTAGTAATAATGATGATAATAGTGCGCTGGCCGTTGCTAGGATGCAGGGAGGGAAGGAGCAAATGTGACCGCTTTGTGGGCTCGCCAGGCCGCAGCCAGCCCAAAAAGCGGTCACATTTGGTCTCTCCGTTGCTGGGGTGTAGGGAGGAGAGGAAGCAGGCAAATTTTGGCAACTCAGAAGAGGCTCGCCATGCCCAAAAAAAGGGCCGCCGGAAATAGTTATTTTATTATTACAACCCCATTTAATTGTTTG